CAGCATAAACACATCAGGTGGTTCTACAAAGTCTTGAATCATGAGGTGTACTTTGTTTTTCACAAATAGCTTCTCCATTTAAAAAAATCATGTATTATGTCATGTGTTGTTCATCTGTATTGGTATCTGCCCAATTTTAAGACCTGCTAAGGATGAGATGATTTTTATAACATCCTGATATGTAAAACCATTTAATTGAAAGAGGGTGTACTTTCTTTTTCATATTGCTGTAATTGTAGAGAGCATGAATGTACACACACCCTCCTAGGAAAGAGGTAAACTCAGCAGAGGTCAAGGATAGGATAGGCTAGACTAATACTTCCTATTGTGGGTATACCACACATACGAAGTAGTTTTCATGTAACTTTAAAGCCAACTTGGTGCTGACAGGATATCCCCAGCTATCGCTTCCAACAGATCTGGTCAACAGCTAAGTATGAAAGGAGCCATCAAAACATCTGGGGGGCAATGAACTAGGGAAGTCATAAAATTCCCAAATAATTCAAATTTTTCCTCTCCAAACATCTTGCTTTACCATCCCGAGCATCCTGCCTAACTGAGGCATGGACCACGTCTTCCTTAGCTTTAAGGAGTTCAATGATGGGCAATGTCTACATATGTAGCTCTTCAGATTTTGCTGGAACGCAACTCCCATGACCCCTTAACAAAGGCTGCAGCTGATAGGAGAAGCAACGCAACAACCCCTGGGAGTTTTCCACCTATGGAACCAATAGGAAGAGTCAGAGACAGTTCAGGATGCTTCCTTGTTATTGGTTACTTGCAATCTGCCGCAGCTGCTAACCAAGAGGGACTCCACCAAGAACCCTGCTTAAATGGTTATGGGCTTTGCAATAAACAGCTCTGTGTACCAGGAAAAAGAAGAAGAAATGGCACAGAATATCCATGGCATTTACTAAATAAAGTCTTTAGGCTCAACAAGTGGGGCGGGGGGGAGTGAGTAGCACAAGGGAATAAGTAAAACCCACACTCAGTTTCACATAAATATTTTAATAGCATCTCAAATACAGGAACATACTGGAACAGTTTTCCTAAATTATGCAGATACTTCCATCTATTGCATAAGGGTCACTGCATTAGAAGAACACTGTAGTACAAGCCCCGCAAACACCTCCCTAATATTTTAAGCAAGGCATCAACACTGCATTCTAGGTAAAACTGCCTCCAACAGAAGGTAGAACTAGGAGAGTGAAGGGAATGAGGAACAAGAACCCATTCCCATCCCAGTAGGGCCAGCCACGCAGGCATCTTTCAGATGCTTCTGGACTACAACACCCATCATCCACAGCCAGCATGTGGCTGGGGACCACAGGGATGGTGATCCAAGGCATCCAGAGGTATGGATGTGCAGGAGATGCCTGCAATGTAGCATCGCTTTCCAAAAGCTCATGTTTGTACTGAGTACCCAACAAGTCAATCACTGTGTGCTTTCAAGTGCCTGAGAATTGCAAGGATTTCCCTTAATGGCACTTCATGGAGCATATTGTTGCCTTTGGGAAAGACATTACTTTTTTCTCTCTTTATTGCTTCAGTGATGAGAGTGCTTAAGTACCAATGAAGTCATTGTGAAAAATAAAAGAACATTGGAGGTGGGGGGGAGAGGGAGAAAAGAAAGTATGTTGTTGTTAACCATGACAGCCCTGCAGAAAGCTAGAGCTTCTAGGCCTGACTGCAACTACCAAGGGAAAGGACCGACGAGCCAATGGACCACCAGTGGTCAAACTGTCACCTTCGGCAACAATCTAAAACCAGTGTTCAATGGGTGATGAGTCCAGTACAACACTGAGGGGTAACCTCCTTCCCACTGCAGCTCTTCTTCCCCCAAATACACTTAAACTGCCCCCGGAAGGGGAGCAGGAGTCTTCTGGAGAAGACTCCTGGAGCCACTTTTCAGAAGCACTGAGGGCTGGGAGGGGAGAGGGAAGACATTTATTCAATAGCTGCTGGTGGAACATGGGATTTCTCCCCTAAGACATCAGAAGCAGCCTGACTGTGGTGCAAATGGGCCTGATGTGTGCACTCTGAAGGGGAAACAAAGCAAAAGCGAACTGTGTTGCTTATATACTGCCCCACAGCACTTAAAGTGCTCTCTGGGTGGTTTACAACATTTAATTATGGAGGCTACACATTGCCCTCCCTGCCCCCAGTGAGTTGGGTACTCAATTCACCGACCTCGAAAGGATGGAAGGCTGACCCACCCTTGAGCTGACTACCTGGGATTGAACCCTGGTTCATGAACAGAGCTTTGGCTGCAGTACTGCAGATTAACCACTGTGCAAAGAGGGAAGGCCAGGTAAACAAAGCTATCTTACACCAGCCTAGGATCTGGCTGGGCGTGTCCATTTCCTTCATCTTATTGTCAGCTAGCCTTGCAGCAAGTGTAAGTAACCTCTGACCTTTCAGCTGTGGTTGGACTCCCAACTGTCAACAACCCCAGGCGGTATAACTAATGGTTAGGGATGACTGAAGTTATAGCACTCACCCACCCTATCCTAGTGCCAACCAATGCCAACCTGAGTTGTCTAGATTTGCATTTTAAGATATGCTGAATTAAGACCACCTGTGAATTGCAGATGCAATTAAGCCCTTAGTACATTGTTGTTTTGCCTAATAGCAACAATTCTTAGATGTAGCACTTTTTTTTGTAGTTATTGTCAGCTTTATCACCATATTGTTTCTGATTTTTTTTTCTTATTGTGGGGTATTGGGGGTTTGTGAGTTTGAATCTTGTCTAAACCGCCCTGTGTACTGCTTGCACTAATGGGATGGTGTAGAAATTGACTGATTGAATGAATGAATGAATAAATAAATAAATAAATAAATAAATAAATAAATAAATAAATAAATAAATAAATAAATGGAGACATGTTGTGCTACTGATGTTTGCATAAATGTCCTGAAAGGAAAAAAAATTATTGATTAGCAAAGGTTACATAATATTCTCCTCTTCTATAGTTATCATTACATACATCTCAAAGGATGGGGGTGCTATATAGGAATCTATGGAGTTAACCAAGACAATAACTTCTGGTTTGCAGAGCTAGGCACTGTATATGATAACATAGCCTGTCACAGTAATAATAATAATACATCTCAACTGTTCTGCTGGCCTAAAGCAGATTCTGCAGCTGACTGACAAACTGCATACACTGAAAAAACATTAGGTGACACTACGCTGATTACACTGATATATAGGTGCATGCGCTGCATAGATCATGGCCATTAACTCATCAGTATGACAACCACCAGAGAGAGTCTTGCCTATATCACACAGATCCATCTCATTATGATTTACAGCCTCTCTCTTGTACAAAACAAGCCATGTCAAACAAGCCTTCTTAGCCAGAGAAGAGTTGAGACATGAAGGATGGGGTGATTCTGCCATTCCCCCCCCCATTTCAGTTTCAAAAGGAAGCTGTAGAAGAGCCAAGATACAGACATGTGTGCCTGTACACCCATAAAAGATGCTGAGTTTAAGTTGTTATTCTGCCATTTTTCTCCTATTGCTTGAAATTTCAGCTTGAAACCCCTCTTAATACTAGACTGCCCTTCTATTTGTCCTGATTAGTAGTGAGGCCCTAAAAGGACATTCCACTGGGGAAGCACTCACAAACGCCTACAATTTCCAGGTATTACCTTGGGGTTTTGCCATCCATCATCTTCCTCCTTCTAGGAATGGGGCTTTGCAGAGGGGAGAGGATTTTATGGACCTTCCACAAACCACATGGTCCCCCACACCATGCCTGCTTCAATTCTTACTGCTCAAATCAGCCATTCCCTGTTTTTTGCCCTACTTCGTATAATAACCATCCTTGTCAACTCTAAGAGCAGTATACGTTGCTTCTGTCATTTTTTCTTTTTCTTTTTTGGTTGTGTCTATATGTCAGTGGTAAGATTGCTCCAAAGCACAGGAAGTTCTTGGAAGTGGGGAAATTTTCCTTTTTAACTGAAGTTACAAAAGACAGACAGCATTGCACGGGTGGAGGAGTGGGGCTGAAGTGGAAGGTAGGCAGGGAACCACTGACAGTGATTTTTCCCAGTGGTAAATGGGGAACAGGAAAGATTTTTATGTGCTCAATACAAAGACTCAGGTTTTTCATTTTTCTTTGCACACTGATGACATCAGCAGACAAAACACACAAGCAACAGCAAAAGGGTCCAAAACTAGCTCTCCAGTTTTCCACAGGATCATTGCCATTTGATGTTTAATTATTTTTCATATGCCTGCCCTCGCTTCTCAATTTGTTGTAGTTACTTTAAATGTAATAAAAATTGACCGACCGACTGACTGACTGATACCATAAAGCCTGAACCAAAGCAGAGGCTGCTTGGATCTCCAGTTTTCTGAGTATTTAAGCCATCAAAAACAGTGGAAGAGAAATGGAGGGATATTATCCTCATTGCTGCAAAGGAACATGTCAGTACAGTATTTCTCTTTAACAACAAGGTCCATGGAGAATCTAGTAGAGAGTGCACACACATTAGATTTCTACCTGCTGTTCCTTTATAAGTCGCTCAGAGTGGTCGCATAGACCAGATGGGTGGGATACAAATCAAATCAAATCAAATCAATCAATCAATCAGTCAATAATCTATGAATGCCAGTCAATCTCTTCCTTGGTCCCATGCTTCTCACAAAACAAAATCTGTACCTCACAACTTACTTACTTACTTACTTACTTACTTACTTACTTACTTACTTACTTACTTACTTACTTACTTACTTACTTACTTACTTACTTACTTACTTACTTACTTACTTACTTACTTACTTATTGATTTGATTTGATTTGATTTGATTTGATTTGATTTGATTTGATTTATACCCCGCCTATCTGGTCCAAAAGGACCACTCTTGAACTTGTTGGGGTTTTCTTAATGGAGGGCCAGGATATAAACTATCTTAGTAAATATGTAAACAACCAACAGCCCACATATGACCCACAACAAATGGGACAGCAAAATTAAGTATGCCATTTATAGAAGATATGCCCACTCTACATACTTTATTTTAATATATTTGCCATTCAACAATCATCAACATCTTAAATTATTTGGGTAGGGCCACAGAAATCTACCCCTGTGTAATAAAGTCAAAGCAAGTACATGAAAACATAGCATCATCCTAACTTTTCTTTTCCTTTTAATCTAATGTCTTCCTTAGAAAGAGCTAAATAAAATATTAACTGAAAATCCTTGAGTATAAACAGATCGAGATCTTTACTCAACTGTGTAGCAATGAATTTATTTCTCATAATTTAACATAAACAAGAACTTGTTCACAATATTCTTTTGAAAGTAAATGCTCTCCAACCAAAGCTCACTGTCTTTGGCTGGAGGGGGGGAGAGACTCAGGATGAATGATCTTAAAATCTAGGAGTTATTATTGCTGCTGCTTCTAAGACTCTTCAGCCTGCAATATCAGTAAGTGCTCTACAAGCCACGTTGATCACTTCAACAGTACCAGCTCCCAAATGATTTACTTCCTCAAGGCTTGCTAGCAGAATATCTGGTGCAGGAGGAACCTAATGGATGGCCTCAAAGGAAAATCTTTGTACCTTGGGATCATGATTAAAGGACAGCTGCTCCCATAAAGAAGGAACACAGACATGGGACAGGCATGGGTACCCTTGGAAAATACCATATGCTTATGGCAACGTGACATAGGTGCTCAAGCTTCCAGCTCCAGGAGCTTACTCCCACATAACTGGCCATGAGAACCATCTCTTCAGTCTACTATGTGGATTGGCTTGAGTCAGCCCTACAGACCTCTGACGGCAAATCCAGGTCGTCCTCAAAACTGATGCTCTGGCTCCCAACTCTACCCTGTCACTATATATATCCTGATCCCTTTATCTATAAATAACCTCACATTTTCTATCACACACAGGTTGGCATTGGTATTACCAACTGGACTCAGAGTTCAGTGGCATGGGGCACCTGACTGGTAACAGAAGCACCAGCAGTCTTCATATTCCTGAAATTCATTGGCTTCTGGCACCTTCTGTCCCCTGGAATCAATATGGTCAGCATCCATGGTAAGCTTCTAACTAGTTGGCATCCTCCTCCTGTGTTTCTGACAGACACTGTTCATGCATTGATGGCATTTGCAACATCTGTGAACACAAGGCGACTAGGTCTCTGGAGCACCCCTTGGTTTGTCTACAAGGAAAACAGAAGAGTAATAGCTGGAGTAGGGTGGCTCTCCAGAACCTGAAAAGTTCTGCATCAGAATTCAGACTGCTAGGTCATGAGTCAGAGGAAAACTGTACAGTGGTGCCCCACCTGACAACAACCCCGCCTGATGACGAAATCGCTTTACGATGCCTTTTTTGCGATCGCTAACAATGGTTCCAATGGGTGATTTTTGTTTAACGATGATTTGGTCCCTGCTTTGGGAACCGTTTTTTCGCTTAATGACTATTAAAAACAGCTGATTGGCAGTTCGCAAAACGGCTCCCCGCTGTTTTCCGGACCGATTCTTCGCAAGACAGGGATAAAAAATGGCCGCCCTGTGGAGGATCTTTGCCGAACAATGAGGTATTTCCCCATTGGAACGCACTGACCGGTTTCAATGCATTCCAATTGGGTTTTTTCACTTGACAATTTCGCTGTACAGCGATTTTGCTGGAACTCATTATCGTCGTCAAGCGGGGCACCACTGTATTATCATAGTAGAGTCAGATTTTAAAGATAACAGGCAGCATTACACATGTGGTGTTTTCAATCAATCTGCACCTTCTTTTCCCTGATGACATGAAGGTGAGGAAGTGACCATCTAAACAACCACTGTCGGGGAGAAGAATCAGTGAGGGGGAGAGGAGGAGGACTTATAAGAATTGTAACTGACCCAGTGCTGGTTTTGGACCCACAGTCAAGTCTCATGGTGCGGCGGGGGCAGAATATAAATCCAGTAACTAAATTAGATTTACAAATAGGGATGGCTAAGAGTGGAGAACAATATCTGAGAGAGTCCCATAAATACTCATCTCACCAGAGATGCCTGTGAGAGGGGAGAAGAGGGGGAAGGAGGAAGCAGAGAGAGAGGGTGGGGGAGGGAGGGGAAATTCCTGCCTTCTTCCCTTGAGTCCTCCTCACCTTCCTCCAAACTCTTGCAAGGAAAACATCCCACTGCTTCAGCCCCACAACTGATGGAAGTAGGGGACCCCCAACCCAAGCAAGGGCCAATGTCCAAGGAACAGAGCGTAGAACTTTTAAATCGCAGTAGCTTTCAGGCCAGAAGCGAGGGTTGAATGTGGAAAGGCACAATGCTATGAAAGCCTGCAGACACACTACTGGAGCAATGGCCTCTGCTAGTTTTGCTGCCCTGAGCAAACCAAGGAACCAGTAAGAAATTCCAAAGCCCATGTTGATACCTTGATTTTTCATCAGAAATTTGTAGTAACCTTGCAAAGGTCCAGCCTGAATCAGGATCACTACCCTTTGGAGAACAGTTTAAGCCATGGCTTCAAACAGCCACTGTTCTGGACTATAACCTCCAGAATTCCACCCCAAACATCATATGGCCTCTCAGTTTTGGCAACCCTAGTCCGAAGCAGCCCATCGTCCAGCAACCTCTCCCAATTCTAGCTCATGTTCTCACCACCCAACTTGGGCCTTTTGCACTCTGAAGCTCAGGTACAACCTAAAATGGGGGAAGAGGGGGGACATGTAGCCCCCCCAAAAAGCATTTCTGCGACCCTCATCACCCATGTTCCCCATTTAAGTGGTGTGTGTGTGTGTGTGTGTGTGTTTTAATACTCAAAAATCCCCTCTCTTCTCCAGGGGCACGAGGGACAATTTTGCCATGTTCTGAGGGTCTCCTCACAAACCTGAGCCCCCATACCCATGCCCAATTTTTATTTTTAACTTTTGGAGGCAAGTAAAAAGGAGAGGTTTTTTCTTTCACATTTTTAGTTAAGCTCTTTTTTTCCAGTTAACAAAAAAGCCACTGTTATCAAGCTCTTTACCCAGTGTGATGTAGTGGACAGAGTGGAGTCAGGAGACTAGGGCTCAGTTTTCCACTCAACCATGGAAACATTCTAGGGACGTGGAACTGGTAAAACTCCTTAAATATTTCACTTACCTTGAAAGCCAGTTCTGAGGTGACAGCACATAATAACAAAATCAACCTCTTGGATCCCCTTCCGCCCAGCCCCCATTGGATCGCAGCCTCTAAGGCTGCTGACAAATCTGAAAAACTGTCCAGAGATCTGTTGAAATGCTCTGCTTGTAGTCTGTGTTGCTCGTAAATTTCTTTGCATTTGAAACAAAATCCACATTAAAGGCTGATATTTTGCAAATAAACCATTTCACAGGGCTGACTGAATATCTACTAATACCCTATTCATACAAAAATGAATGAGGTGATTCTGTCCCACCCTGCAAACCATGAGAAATTTGTCCCAAGCAACCATGAGTTCCCAGCTGGTCCACTACAGGGTGAATTCTAGCACAGACGGGAGGTCTACTCTAAACAACGACAGAAACATACCGGATCTTCCTGCTCCCATTGGCTAGGCTTTCAAAGAAAAATTAACAGAGAAAAAAAAAGAGTGCTGTAAGATCAGTTACAAGTTCTTCTATTCCCTCCCCCAAGTTGGGAGGGGGGGTGTAGGAAAAGTAGCCCTGAAAATGGAAGTGTTTTAAAAATTGAGACTTGAACAATAGTTTACTAAAGTCATTGCAAAAAAAAAAATTAGCTAGCACCAGGTAGGCAAGGGCTACAATAACATTCCTAACAGTTAAAATGGGTTTGTGCTACAATGTGTTGACATGCCAGGCCGACGAGTGGATAGCTGATCACGAGCTCCGGAGCGATTGGAAGGGAGCGTGGAGCCGGCGGCAGCAGCAGATGCATGAGTGGATGGTCCAGCCCCCAGGGGGGCAGACCCTCATTATGTACGCAGATGCATGAGTGGATGGTCCAGCCCCCCCGGGGGGGGAGACCCTCATTCTGTACAGCTGTGCAGGGGTATATGAATATGAATACCCCCACCTCTAGTCCTGAACAAGGTCTTGAGAACTACAGTTATACAGTCATGTGAAAAAGTACACCCTCTTTAAATTCTATGGTCTTACATATCAGGACATAACAAAAATCATCTGGTAAACCTCAGATGAACAATAACAGATGACATAGCATATCAGGACATAATAAAAATAATCTGGTAAACCTCAGATGAATAACAACAGATGACATGGCACACTATGTCATGATTTATTTTACAAAAATCCCCATCTTTATGTGGCCCCCTACAGACAGTGGGTCCTGGACAAATGCCCACTTTGCCCTCTGAATAAAGCAGCCCTAGTTGGCTGCTACCTAACCTCTTCCTATCTATGGAAGCGGTAAGGGTGTACTTAGTTTTTCACACAAGGCTTCTCCATTTTGGCTTTGTCTGTAGGGGGCCACATAAAGATGGGGATTTTCCCCCTCTGTGATGGCGCTACACAGCTTGTGCTACCTGCTCCTCACTGGGCCTTTGAAATCTTATATGCACTGAGATCACACAACAGGACCACAATGCATGACTTCTTGCCGTTTGAGCACTGGTGACACTTGCACCTTTTCTCCCACCACCCACGTCATTGAGGACCCCAGTCTGGTGGAGCTGACTGTGACAGGCACAGCACTGAGAGGCTGTTTTGGGGGCAAAGATGGCAGAGAGAGGCTGTTAGGGGGCTAAAATGTTACAGAGATCCTGTTTGGGGGCTAAGATGGCACAGGCAGGCTGTTTGGAGGCACAGAGGGCACTATGTATTTACTGCTCATTGGCATGATATTACCAAGTCTATGCATTAAAATGGTATGTTTGCAAAATTCTCATTCTATCAGAGGAGAATATCTTACCTGCCAATATTGATTAATTCTTGGAGCCAGGAGTATGGGTGTTTTTTTGTTTGTTTTTATTTTCACTTTTTTGCCTCTTATGCTGAAATTCTGCACTCAATGGACTCCATTCAATAGCACGAGTTAATTTATCTCATTTAATATTATAGACCTTAATAGAAACTTTTGAGTTAAAAACCAGTGATATGATAAGTCACACCACTGAATTGAGTCCATTGTGTGATACTCACTTTGTGGACAAGACTGATTGCATTACTGTAAGGAGGATGTTTTGTGTTTAGTATTAAAATCCTCTTTCTTGCTTTTTTACACATTCTAATTCAGGGCTTGGAAAATCTAGGGAGCCAGGGCTCATAAGTAGTGCTGCTGGCACCTACTATTTTAACTGTTTTACATACAACACTATGGAATGACTATTTCTTTGGCTCCTAAAATCAACCAGGCTGACTCCTGAATTAGTCTGTGTGCCTCCCAAAGTCTACAGATATTTAACAAGTCTGGATCTTTTAAAAGGAAATAAAGGCATAAGAAGGGAACAGGGAAAGAAGGCCGCTGTAGGGCTTCTAGAGCATCTGAAGCCAAACAAAAAAGGATGGGTACTTTTCTTGAAGCAGCTCAGAGACACTCGCTAGTCTAGTCATGCTTATGCTGGTGAAGTTTTGCAACTGAACTATTGCAACATTACTGAATGTGTCCAAAATATGGAAAATAATCCAGATGAAAATCCAGTGTTATCACAGCATCCAGTGATATCACTTTCTTTAAAAAAGAGGAAACTTAAAATCCTGCAACAGGATTTTAAATCAGATTAATAAAACAAATGTCTATTTACAATCAAGTAAGCTGCACTTGGCCACTGCAACCAACATGCTTGAGTCACTTGTGAAATATGTTCAGGACTGTTGAAGGAAGCAGAAAGTTTCAAGTTCAAACTTATAATTTAGTTATCGACACATTTGTCAATTGTCTGCATGAAAGAAGGGAACGATATTCTTCGATAAACAGCAAGTTTGGCTTTTTGGATGACTTGGTTTTCATATCAGTTCAACAATTAAGAAAAGATGCATTTACTCTACAACAAGCTTATCAGTATGATTTGGAAAACATACTTACAGATGAAGTTGTTGCTTTACAGAGTTTACTACAACGCTGCCTTCCCAGTGTCCGAAGCAGCAAAGAGGACAAAGATTACCCAAACAATGCATACTGTACCAAATTATTGTGAGAAAGAAACATCATCTCAGTCTACCCAAATGTTGATATAGCCTTTCGTCCAGACCTTTCTGATATAATTCCTCAGATAGCATGTTAAATGTTAAAGTTCACGACAGTACAATGAGAAAAAGAATGAACTAGTATAGCTTGTTTGGGAGGGTTGCTAGGAGAAAGCTTCTTTTCTCTAAAAATAAAAATAAAAACAGGGCAGCATGGCTTAAGTTTGCAAAGTTGTATCTGGACAAACCACAAGACTTCTGGAACAATGTCCTTCGGACAGATGAGACCAAAGTGGAGATGTCTGGCCATAATGTACAGCACCACATTTGGCAAAAACCAAATACAGCATATCAGCACAGACACATAATATCAACTGTCAAACAAGGGGATGGAAGAGTGATAATTTGGGTTTGTTTTGCAGCCACAGGACCTGGGACCCTGGCAGTCATTGAGGTGACCATGAACTCCTCTGTAGACCAAAGTATTCTACAGTCAAATGTGACGCCATCTGTCTGACAGCTAAAGCCTGGCAGAAACTGAGTCATGGAACAGGACAATGATCCCAAACACATCAGCAAATCTACAACAGAATGGCTGAAAAAGGAAAGAATCAAGGTGTTGCAATGGGCCAGTCAAAGACCAGAACTCAACCTGAATGAAATGGTGTGGGTTGGATATTATGAGAGCTGTGCATAAACATATGCCTGCAAGCCTCAATGAAGCACCATTATAAAGAAGAATGGAACCAAATTTCTCCACAATGATGTGAGAGATTGCTAATGTCATACAGAAAATGATCATTTCAAGTTATTGCTGCTAAAGGTGGTTCTACAAAGTATTGAATCATAAGGTGTACTTAGTTTTTCACACATGGGTTCTTTTTTATTTTATTTTTGTAAAATAAATTGTGACACAGTGTAATATGTCATGTGTTGTTGTTCCTCTGAGGTTGTATCCACCTAATTTTCAGAACTGCCAAGGATGATATTCTTTTTATTATGTCGTGATATGTAAAACAATTTAATTCAAAGACGGTGACTTTTTCACATGACTCGAACCAACATAAGTTCTATGATTGCTGCTTGACATTTTTGGTTTCAAAAAGTTTTTAATCCCGTCTTCAGTATGTTTCTATAAAACCTAGTTCCACCTGCTGCAGTTTGAAATCATCACAGGCAATGATCCCATGTACACTTATTGGAGGCAAGTCTCATTTCACTCAGTGGATTAATGTCAAAGTAGACCAAATTAAGTTACTTGTTTTAATTATGCTTATAAAACAACTGGGATTTGTTTTAAAGTACTGTAAAGAAAAATAGGATGTTCTTCTTGTTCCAATTACATTCCCTACTTCTAGTATTGTTTTCCGAGTTGTCATTCTAACTACACTCCCTAAACCAATCAAACAAGTAGTTGTTTTACTTATTCTCTAACTACACTCGCAAAACGAGTGGAATTCACTACAATATTTTTGAGTAGTTTGAATTAGAATAATTATCAGAAAGCTGAATATTAGTGTTACTAACAAAACTGAAATATCTGAATATTTTGGAAAGACATTTCAGCTTCTGCCTTCTTCAGCTGCTCTAAATAACAATAGTAACATGTGTCCATGTCTCTAATTAATTCTTAAAGACACTTCATTATTATTTAAATAAACCTGTTATCTTTTAGAGTAAAATTGATCACGAATTCTCAAACTGATGTTATTTACTTTTCAAATGCGGGTTATAAAAAGCAACTATGGTTTCAAGTGCTACGTAAAACTGTACCAATAGCCCTCTTGTAGTAGCATCTAGACCAGTGGATCTCAACCTTGGGTCCCCAGATGTTCTTGGACTACAACTCCCAGAAATCCTGGCCAGCACAGCAAGTGGTGAAGAGAAAGTGGTCTGGAGCCACAAAATAGGGATAACTGCTATTATCCATCAGACAAGAGATGGGCTGCTGCTGGTTCTCCATATGTTGTTGGATTCCCATCAGCCTTCGCCTGCACAACCACTGATTGCAGATTATGAACAGTACCTGGAGATCCAAACATTACCCATCCTTGAAAGGAGTAGTGTTACCTTGTTCTGGGAGGCCTGCAAAGAAGCAGCATCTCTGCCATGCTCCAGGAGTTCTTGTTCCAGTTCGTCCTGTTCCTCAGCAGGATCGAAGTTGTACATAGGCATGAGCTGGTGCCGCAGCTTCTCTAGTCTACTAGGGAAAATGGAGAGCAAACATTTCCACCACTGTTGGGCATCAGGCTGAACAGAAACACACACCTTCCATACACACACCCCAGCAGCTGCACAGCTACTGCTGAGACTCCAAGCTTCCTGAGCAAAGACTACATCATTTCTGCTGACCTCAACATTGCTTTAAAGTTGGAAAGGCAAACTCTGAAATTGGTTCAAGACTCCACTGCTTACAAATGGAGGCCTATGGGTGGGTAGGTGGGGGGGGGATTTCAAAATAAAAAAAACCTAGCAGGCCCTAAACACGGTTACCCAACAGCAGGGGAAACTTACCGTTTCCTTTTTCTTATGTATAAAACCTAGGAAAAACAATAGAAAAACTCAGTTGTTGGAAGTGTACTTTCAGCCGGACCTCTCCTTCACCCACCCACCTCCTGCACATATCCCTCTGCAAAATGAGAGCAGTTGCCATAAGTTTGCATCAGTTCCTGAGAAAAGCTGTAGCATCTGGAACGAAAACAGATGAATTAAGTATGTTGCTTTTGTACAGCAGGAAATATAGTTGGCCACCCAATTTTCGTTATCTTAATTTCATTTTCAGCAAGATTTAGCTATCTCTTCCTGTGTGTACACATCAGATAAAAACAAAACAAAAATTAAAAAGCGAGAAAAATAGTATTTCATTTTAATTTTTGTTTTTGTCCGATACTCTTGCACAGACTAGCACAGCGATGTCTTTGAAAACTCACACATACATTTTGTGGGAATGATCTAGGGCACGGCATGAGTATACTATATTGTATTCTTAAATTATTAGATGTGAAGCATACAATTTCTTTTACACTTTTCTATTGCGTTTATGTGCACCAGATCATGTGCTTCGGTGGTGGCCACAGGACCTCATACGTATACAAAGGTGCCACTAAAATCCATGTTGAAAAAATAGCCATAACCAGCCTTCTGCTTGATGGAGTAGGTATGTACTCTACATGTAGACCTCCAAGCAAAGCTATCCCAAAGAACTCCTTTGGAGAAAGCCAGTATAGCTCAATGTATTCGCGAAGGCTTTCACGGGCAGGATCTAATGGTTGTTGTGGATTTTTCGGGTTCTTTGGCCATGTTCTGAAGGTTGTTCTTCCTAACATTTCGCCAGTCTCTGTGGGCGAAACGTTAGGAAGAACAACCTTCAGAAGGTTGTCTGTGGGCGTCTCTGTGCTGGCCACAGAGACTGGTGAAACGTTAGGAAAAACAACCTTCAGAACACGGCCAAAGAGCCCGAAAAACCCACAACAACCACCAGTATAGCTCAATTGCCACAAAACTCTGTAGCGAGATGAGCAAGGAAAGACTCAGCCCTAGGCATTTTTGGACTCTAAAGATTAAGGTGGAGCTTAGCAGAGCCCTCCCCACCATGGACGGATCCACACAGCATTCTTTCTCACCATTGCAACAGCCAGCCCAATCACAGTGATGATGCCGAAGGACAGCAGCATGGTACCCATGCCAGGGGTATTGCTGGCAACATCTGGGATTTTCGTACTGTTAAAGCTACTGGTTTCGGGTGCCATTGTAGCCATTTCCGAGCCAGTCCCATCCACATGTGCCCCATGGTCTGGATCGGAGACGGTCGTGCCACTCTGGTACAAAGTGTTCACAGTAGATGCGCTGTAGTTCATCTTGAAGGAAAGCTTTTTATCTTCTACTTGAATGACAATGTTTTCAGCTACAAAGCCATTCCCACTTGTTTTTGGTCAACAAGCCTGAAAGAAAAACCTTTGGCTTGCATTTTCCTTAGTGGCTCTTCTGAACAGAAGTCTTGCTGGATAATCCTTAGCAAGGAAAGAAGGAAAAAGGAAAGATTCATCATTGTATCCCAAATTATCCTTAGCAACACTACAAAGTAGACTAGCACATCTTACGCTCATCATGCAAATGAACACACACACACACACACACACACACACACACACACACACAGAGGTTTCCCTGCCAGGTGGGACTAGCACATCTTACGCTCATCATGCAAATGGAGAACTGAAAACAACCAATTCATCTAGGTCCAGACCAGTTAGTTTCTTAGTTGAGCTGAAATTTCAGCCCAATTTGTTCACCATAGGGCAACATGGATAGCACAATCCTGGATGTACCTCCTCAGGCACTAGTCTAGCTGAATCCAGCTTTTCCATCTTCTANTAGTCTATCACTCTACCCACTACATCGTACTGAATACCTGCTAAAAAGTTAACATTCTGCATTTCTATGCTGACATCAGTGGAGACAGCATCAGCAGACTTTTCTTCTTTTGTAAGCAACACAAAAATGTTAACAGATAGATCCTTATTTATTTATTTATTTATTTATTATTTGACTTCTACCCCGCCCCTCTAGACAAAGTCTACTCAGCGTGGCTTACAAACAGTTATAAAACATCATAAAATATAATAATATAAAAGCATCATTATAACTATCAAAATATATTGTAAAACAATCACATGATTAAATCAATAAATGTAAAAGATCAAGATGGAGGAAAAAGAGAACTTTTTCCTTCTGCAGGTGGGTAACATTTTCAGAATTATTTACAAGGCTAGACTAAATTCTCACTGAGGTGAAAAGGGAAAAACCTATGATGAAATTGCTTTCTGCAGTCCTCTAAGTATAAAAATAAAATAAAGGAAGGATTTTAGGGAAGCAAGCCTCCTGAATCAGTATCACACACAGACACAGATTTTTACTAAGGAAATTGGACACATAATGCTTCTAGATGCATGGTACATAAGTCCACTGTCTAATGCTGAGTCCCTACATTAGAAAATCCCATACTTGTGGTCAGCAGGACAACATTTCTGTGTTTGCTGTTGGGGGTTAGAGACGACACAAGAAAGTCAAAGACCTGGAGTGCATAAAAACATACAAAGTTAAGTCAATGGTGTTTCTCTATCCTTCTGCAATCATTTTCATACATAAGAACATGGTGACAAGGCATGGGTCTACAGATGTTGTCAGACTGTGGCTCCTATTATCATCCCTCACCATGGGCTATGATGACACAGTCCAACAATACATAAAGGGTTTGCGTTTACCCACCTGTGTAATAAGTAAGACCCTAGCAGTTGCTACGCAAGGTTGGGGTCATGCTCTGTCTAGTTTGGCTTCTTATCATCCAATACGGGTTTGCGTTTACCCACCTGTGTAATAAGCAAGGTTGGGGTCATGCTGTGTCTAGTTTGGCTTCCTATCATCCAATACAAAAAACTCAGCAAGACTAAAAGCAAGGTGGCACAACTCTATTCATTCTTGGCTAATTCCCTCTAAATCCAGTCCTCCAAGGTATACTGCACTTCTGGCTATTATATGTTGAAAATGATAGATCTGTCCTCACTGTACGAATCAAATATTTAAAAGTGTTTACTCTCATTACCCCAAGAACTTCCTGTGGCAATGAATCCTGGAAAGTGACCATGCACAGCACATACACTGCTCCAAGATATACACTTTTTGACTGCTAAGTAATTTTGAGGAAGAAATACAGTAAGTTGCTGTATTTTGTGATGAGTTATATTTTCTCTCTAGTAACGCTCCTGTACTAGTCATAATTTTACACATTATTTCCCCACTAATTTTAATCCATAGGCTGAAAATCACCTAGAACTCTTCCTTGTTTTAAAATCCTGCCTGCAATTAGCCTTTTAAAAAAATAACAAATGGAAAAAACGGAAGTGTAGCCAGTAGACACTATACAAAGTGTTCATGATTTCAGGTTCATGATTTCAGGTTCCACTATTTTCAAGTGCTCTTACCCTCTAGCAAGTATTGCAGCTTTGGTTTTATTTCCTCATTGATTAGGTTTTAGTACCAAAAGGATCAAATATTTGCCTTGATAGGGCTGCTGTAGTCAACCAAGTTGACATTTTTCTGAGAATTTTCAATCACGACCACAACATCCCTTCCCTAATGAATCACAGTCACTTCAAACCCTGCTGGCTACTCTGTAGATGTGGTAAGCAATCTTTATATCCCTTCAAACATATTGACACCACAGCTCTAGTGCCAATATATGGACTAGTGAAGTCTAAAGAGATGCTCTCAGCCATAATTTTATCCCAGTGTCAAGGTCTGAAATTTCGTATGTATAGAGTGGTGAAATTAATGCGACTATAAAATGCAACCCCAAAAATGTACAATATACTTAAGAAAATGAAGCTTGAACAACAGTATACTAAATGTCACTGCAAAACCCTCAGCCAGCTCTCCATCCAAGCCTGAAAGGAAAGGCAATGTAAAATAATATTGCCGTGCAAAAAAATCTCTTTCCTAGCAAACTAACATATGAACGTGGAAGTGTAAACAAATAATAAAGAAATACAAGACACTGAAGAAAAAAGGTCCTAGACCATGAAATTCCTGGAGTACTAAAATGTAAGTGCAACAAATTGGTACCTGACCACAGTGGTTTGCTCTCTTGGCATTTAACTGGTGCTGCAGGTGTTCAAGGGAACAAGTCAAAATATCAACAGTGTTTTGCTACAACAGTTTTGCCATCAAAGTAATTTGCTTGGACAGCAGTGTGCTAAGTTGACAAAGCCAATGTAAATTCTCATAGACCATTTATAAGATGTATCAAATTGGGCAACAGTTTACTGTACTTCACTAGCAAGTTTCCATTGTTGATATTTGGAAGGAAATATAAACAAATATAAATATGGGGAAGCAAGAGACACACATCACACACACTAGATATTGACAACACAGATACTAGGCACAAGATTCCAAGGAAGCAGGAGGCAGGAGATACAGCAGGACAGAGGCAACACACATAAATCACAGCTTTCCCTTCACTGGTGCGAATAGCAATGCCTTGAGTGAGAAAATTAATATTTTTCATATGTGCCTGGATATACTAAAGGTTACTCAAAGCTATAATGCATTTTTACTTTTTACTGATGTGTTTCAGAGATGTACTCCCTGCTTTCTGATTGTGCCTTTTCAAGCTAACAACTCCTGTATTTTTGGATTGAAATATGATTTAATTCTTGCCTGTAACTTTTACAGCTAAAAGCTTACAACCAAAATAAAATTTTCCAGCAACTTCATTTTTGCTTTTGGTTTCTTTTTTAGTTGCAACATTTCATATTTACAGCTTTTCATAAGTTGTAAAAATAGATTTCTGTTGAAGCATTTGTACCTATGACTTTGTTCATACCTGTAAGAATGATTTCTCATGACTTTACATACTTCAAAGAGTTACATGTTTTCAATAACTATTGGATTTTTGTGTACAGAAGCAACACAAACGAATAAAGGTTGTAAAATTAAGCAAGCTGATGCTGCCTAGCATCATTTCAATGAAACTATTTATACTTTGATTATAGGTCAATTGTGATACTATTGGAAGAGGTTATCTGGTTCACACTGAAGTTAACCCTTTCAGGAATGTCATCTGTGACAGATCACCACAGACTCAAATTACCAAGGTGTTATAAAGTTTTATACTCCCCTGAGGTTATTGTTTGAGTGTCATACTTTTGACTTTAACACCAGTAGAGGACCAGTCTTGCATGAATGAGAGAAACCATGTAAAAACATTACCAAAGACTTTTGTGACACCTTAAAAATTGAGAAGTTTCATTTGGCATAACCTTTTATTTTTAACCTTTAAAGTACCACATGGTGTTTTGATTGGGTTGCGGCAGACTAACAAAGCTACCCTTCTGGCTTGTAAGCATTTTATTTTCTGAACAAGTTCCTTTTCTCAAATAGTTCTTTCCCCCTTACATACAATTACAATGTGGTGAAGGAGTGCATGGTCCTAACATTCAATAGAATCATCAATTGTCAAGCTCTTTTCATTTCTGTTATAGCTGAGTGGTTCAGATTATGTTGCTGTCCGATTGCGGAACCAGAGGTGGATAGTTTGATTCTCCACTGTGCCTCCTGGGAGAAGAGCCAGCCTGTATGGTCTTGGGCGAGCTGCACATCCCTGGGTGCCCCCCCCCCAAAAGAAGGGAATAGTAAACCACTTCTGAGTGCTACTGTCTACCTGGAAAACTCTGAAAAGGGTCACAGCAAGTCAGAACTGGCTTCACATCACATGATAATTTTTTCCCCTGCAAATTTAAGTGGGGGAAGCAGGAAAAGATTCCCAGAGATTTTAGTGGATTTCAGTGGACTTCAGCTGCTGAGCTATACCTAATAACAGAACTCCCACCTTGATCTCCTACCAGTGGAAGAGGAAGTTTGTGAGAAAAGAGGAACTTCATTCAGACATACAGTAGTTCTCTTTCTCTGCAAAAGATGAGGATGTCCACCGAGATTCACTTCTGAACTGAGGCCATCTCCCACCCACCCCGTTTTTCTGCACGGCTGATGCTCCCTCCCGACGTGGAAAGAGGAAAAGAAAGTGGCGGCGCTCCCGCAGAACCCCGCGGTAGTAGATAGGCCGGGTTTTTCTGTTGGCTAGGAAAGCTGAACACACACCTTCCATCAATCCCTGGGGCCTGCTCTAAAGGTTCGCGGAGTCCCATCATCCCCCCCCCACTGCTGTATTTGCGTCGTGCGCCGGGGCCGGCTTAGACAAAACCCATGACGTCAGCGCTTTGCGAGGTGTCCCCCGACCGGGACGAGTCGCGCCCTCTCCCTTTTTGGATGCCCACCTCGAAGGGGGGGGGCACGGGACACACCAGTCCGCTCAAGGCCAGAATCGCTGGCGAGAGCCGGCCATGGGGGGGGAGGAGAGAAGGTCATCCTCCCTCCCTCCCTCTTTTGCTCAGAGCCCCACCCACTCCCTTTCGCCAGGCAGGGGCACCTGGGCGGACCCTCGCCTTCCCCTTCCATCCTTCAGCCCCCCTGCCCACCTCCGCGCTCGCCAAGGTGGGCGAGCGACCCTCTCCCGAGGGCAAGGCAAGGACCGGGGGGGGCGTGTGCCCGTGCTACGGACTAGCGGGCTCGCTCGCCTCT